CTCTTGCTGTTCGAGTAACTGAATCATTTATTTAGTGTTCCAACTGTGGAAATTCGATCTCTCTGAATGTTGACGTTCTTCCAAATCCATTTTTCTTGGAAGTAATTAATCGTGTTGATCGTGTTGATGCTGACTTCATTAAAAAATTGAGGAAACTCGTGTTTTTGGCTTTGGAATGATTGCACAACGTATTCGGAAGCTACAAAACCTTTCAACGAGTGAATTTTTAAATAACTAAAAGAAATATTATTTATCCAGGAACATTAAACATCGATACGTCACGAATATCACATTTCAGTAAAAGATAATAACATTCTTAATTGTTTCTAATCCAGAACAAAAGTAAGTGGATAATTGAAAAGAATATTATTTATTCCATTGAAACTCGAAAAATCAGGAAAGAATGGATTTAATAGCATTGACTTCCGAGGGACCGAATTAGCGACGTTAACGTCGAATCGAGTGAATTCATTATCATCACTGACATTGCGATTACGTGTGCTTATCTTGTCCTAGATAGAACGATACTGTATTTAATATAGCAGCACGTATGCATTTAATTAAACGCGTGAAGTTGCGAGGTGCAGCCATCTATTGACACGAAGTTCAACCACAAGAGTCGCATCACTGCAGATTTGGAAAATGGAGGAATCGAAGTGATGATATCTCTGATTCGTTCACTGGTTAACAAAGTGAATCTTTTCAAAGTTCAATTATTTATCTTGTGAATTACTGTATAAAGAGATTCTTTTGCAGAAGCGTTCCTTATTTATTAACCCTTCGAAGATTCTTTGATATAAACCTAGCAGATTAAGCTAAATGATACCAATTGCTTAAATAGCAGGTAGAAAACTACATGCTGATGTTTGAATAATTCAATCATATAACAATACATTCAATCATTGAAATACAACGGTTTTATCTCTTTGGAAGGCTGACATACGCAAAGAGTTAAACTAGTTTCGAGGGTGTCATTGGTCTATTAATTAATCGTATCAATCTATGGATTCTACGAAATCTGCAATCGTTGTATTTGATAATTATAAGTTTTACTTACGAAAGAGTGTTACAGCCTGAATTGAACATTGGCTTACCTGGAACAGAAAAGAGAACATTTTGTTTAGATTATGATAATCGACTTTACTTGTTATAACGTTGTATTTGTGTTAATTAGGGTTTGCAAGTAGAAGAGAAGCTCTTTCTCAATTTTTGGTGACTGGACAATTTGTTTCCTATTATTATTGTTGTTGTTGTTGTTGTTGTTGTTGTTGTTGTTGTTGTTGTTGTTAGAATATGTATTATTATATTATTTAGTATGTATAATTTATACTACAGTAAGTTATGTACCTATATTGTCTAGAGAGTATCCAAGCACACGTTCCTATTTATTATTTTATTAATCTACAGAATTAATATGATAAGAGATCATTTAGAAACAAGTATACCCACAGAATACTTAATTTCCACAGTTGTTATTTCACTAATGTACAGAATTAATATAAAAAGAGGTCATTTTGAGAGAAGTACACCAACACAAAATTGATTTTGCATTTGAATTAGAGAGAAGTCCACTAACAGAAGATTGATTTTGCACTTGTTATGTTATTAACTTGCAAGATTAATATAAACCAGGTCATTTAGAAAGAAGTACACCCATATAAAATTGATTTTGCACTTGTTATGTTACTAACTTGCAAGATTAATATAAAACATGTCATTTGGAAAGAAGTAGTTCCACATAAAATTGATTTTCCATTTATTATGTTACTAATTTGCAAGATTAATTTAAAACGAGGTCATTCGGAGAGAAGTACACGCACATAAAATTGATTTTGCATTTGCATTGGAGAGAAGTACACTAACAGAAAATTGATTTTCCACTTGTTATGTTACTAACTTGCAAGATCAATATAAACCAGGTCATTTAGAAAGAAGTACACCCACAGAAGATTCACACAATACTTTTGTATTGTGTCACTTTGTAATGGTCACTTTTTAGTGACCATTCGAAAAGAAGTACACAGAAGATATACTTTCCCCATCTGTTATACTAGCAACATACAAGATTAACGCAAAAAGAGGTCATTCGGAAAGAAGTGCGCCCACAAAAGATTTATCGTCCGCGTTTCGGCGTCCACTATATCGTCGAACACTTTGGACACAGTCTCTGAATTATCCGGTACCCCGGTTGCGGAACAGTATCGAGCAACGTTACGTAATATGTTCCACTGATTGCGCTTTCGTGTTCGCACACTTAACCCAATCGCAAGAAGCCATTGCGAGAAAAAAGACCGGCCCACCCGCAACATCATTCCTTATCGAGGCCTCGCGCAAAAGATTCGAGATGTATCGTTCGAGAGATAACGACGGTCCTGAGAAAAATGATAATCGCTGGTGCATCGTTTAACCCTTTCACTCGCCATTTGATTTGATCCATGGAAATGATAAAATTTAGAATTTTTATATAATGCGTCAACACATGGAACGTCGAAATAAAATGATTGTGTTACTTAATTTATGCGAGGTATTTGTTTATGTTAGTTGTAACATATCATTGATATTTCATCAGAAAATAATGAATATTTGTTCAGAAAAATATTCTCGAGTGCAAAGGGTTAATAGTCGAAGCTCACTGGCTCGAAAAACGTTGACCTCGTTAATTGTTAATCTGAACCGATTATTCCTGTTTGCGACGTCGCGCGGATGCAATGGTCATTGCCAGTTTAGATCATTCGGATTGTTTAGAATCAAAGGACTTGTAGGAAATTTACAAATTTAGAAAGGAAAAGAGAGAATGGGAAAAAAGGTAATAACACTTGAGCGTTTTGTGTGTCACTTATTCTTTTGCAGCAAAAATAAAAATAATTATCAATTATTTGATACACGATTATTAGGTCACACTGTAATCTAGTTATTTGAGTTATTAAACATTTTCATTTGATGCTAGTTACGTTACAAATTGTAATTGTTTTCGAGTAATTTGAAGCTCGTGGCAGTCAAGGTGTTAATAGGATTAATATGCAAATCCTATAAAAATTGGAAGAATAGATTATTTTAAGTTTCTTCAGACATTCATTATAGTACTCAAATGAAACTATTTTCTAAATCATTTCGAATATTCAATGCTTCGAAGATAATAATTGCTAAACAAATCGAAACCAGTCTTTTTGATACTTTTGATACTCATTTTGATACACTATAGCTATTGTTAAATCGTTTGATTGAGTATTATTATTATTATTGCGCGTTGATTCAGCTGAAAATCATTAGGCTCATTATTTATAACACATTTTTAACTAATCATTTAATTCAACGAACTATAATAATTCGATTAGAGGCGTTCTTTAAGTTGCTTTAACTCAATTTTCGAACTTTTAACTCACTTCAGACTCCCACGTCGTCTAATTAATCAGTCTCTCGATATTTTTCTCTGTTTCTGCTCCCACTAAAGAATCTATCCAACTTTATTTCGTAGCCAGTTACCGACTGGCTAGGAAAGTGCGGTTGTCGAGCCTTTAAGTATGACTGAATAATTTATACCCATTTCTCTCCTAAATCACGATCATTGGACTGCGAACGTCCGCGAATTTCTCCGTTGAAAAGAAAGTGCTTCCTCTAAAATTCAATTCTCAGAGAAACTCGACAATTTCATTTATCTCCATTTAATTGCGTCCTACATAAACTCAAAATTCATATTTTGCTTCGTTCCTAACGCGTTTCCGAAACTTTAAATGATTTACAATTCAGTTTGCGCGTTACTAAACTAATTTCTCTAATAATCTCTCAAAAAAACATTTATCTTTCTAATAATTGCAAGAAGGAATCAAGAATGGGTCTGGTTTCAGTGTTAAAGAGATAAAAATAAGCTACTTGAAACGCGAAGCCAGTTTTCCGGCAAACTCGCGTGTAACATGTTTGCCCGAACACACGTGCGTCACACATGAACGCGCGTTTCGTAACGTCTCTAAGTAACTGCAACGTTCGCGCGGAGCAGTAACGTGGACAATAAAGTCGCTGTGTTAACAGTCGGGACTGACAGTTGGGATTATGGTCCTAACGCGACTCGTTACAGCGAAACGGATAACCCTCGCATTGACTACATTGTCGCGAGTTAAATCCCTCGTACGCTCTTACGCGGATTCTCCAAGTTGCGTTCAACTTCGGCTTTAATTGCCACGCGCCGGTATTTTCATGAGACTCACGTGTCAATGTTGTGAGTCATTGGCGTTGCGAAAGATCGCGAATTATTTTCGAATATTCGAGTTAATTGGTGAGAGATCCGACGGAGATCGATTGGTTGCTATATTAACACTAGAACTACCGAGCTGAACTGATTTTTAAGTTATACTTTAATTCGTGTATTAATAAATCTATTTCAATCATATCTTGAACATTTATACGCTTTCAATTATTGCGAAAGAATAAATAAATTATACATCAATTGCTTAGAGAATAGAAGTGGAAACTACGAACGCATCTTTTGCTGTTTAGTCTCAACACTAAAGGAATATAGATAATTGTCGATTTAACCCTTAGCGGGCGAAGATTCAAGCAGATGAAGTTAACCTTTGCACTCGAGAGGTGACCGCTTGATTTGATGCGAAATTATAAAGAACTGTATGATGCATCAATATATGAATGAAATAAAATAACTTTCGTTCTTAATTCATATATGTCCTCCTATTAATTAGTTGTAAAGAACATTGTATCTCATCTCATTCAACATTGTATCTCAATGTTGAATATTTCTAGTGAGAAACTCGAGTTCAAAGGATTAAATTCCATATCGAATCCTTAGATGAAGAAAAGGAAACTAATCTCTTGTTCGAGTAACCGAATCATTTATTTATTTTACTGAATCGATTGTTACAACGAACAAAGAAGCGACATTCGCGAAGGGTCCGTTAAATATTTAGCGTAATTGAAAAATATCGCGCGGTCCCAGACGTTTTATCGTAGCCGAAACAATTAAATTTTATTTTCGCTTTTTTCCTTTGCAGGCCAGCCGTCGCCAATAAAACAGAGGGAGGATATGACAACGGTTCGCTGTACGATGCATTATCGAAGCAAGAGGGTATCTTTATGCCGCACGGAATTGCGCAGCGCATGGCGAACTTCGCCATAAGCTTCATTGCGTAATCCTGAAACATTTTATTGCGCGTGGGAACGATGTACGTCATGTACCGCATCGGTTTTAACAAGGATACCGGCAACGTAACTGTTTGCGCTCGTGTCTTTCAATAAAACCGTTCCGCGATTTATCCAAGGTATTCCGGACGAAACGGACTGGGAAAAACTGCCGACCACGGATTTACGGTAAAAATCATCCACTCCTTTTTTACTCGAGCCGGAGGAATCGCCGGCGTGTATTAGACTCGATGGATTGGAATGATCTTCGGGAATGAAAGTGTGGAAACGGTTGCGCCGACTAATTGGAGCTAACTTTTTCGGACGCGGGTAATTTCGAGGGGAATTATTCTGTGATGCATTGATGATGAATGATGTTCTGTAAAATTATTTTAAATTGTAAATGTCTAATTTAGGAAAGAATAGGGAATTTAATTTTTGGATTTGTGCTGTACATGTTTGAAATGTTACATTAACACTTTGCTGAAGATTGTTGAAAGTATGCAAAATAGTGGAATTATTTTGTGATGTTTCTCGATTTATTTTGAAATGGATCGATTTTATTGTAAAATTGTATTAAATAGGGAATTTTGTAATTTCTGGATTTGTGCTGTACATATTTGAAACGTTACTTAACCCTTTGCTGAAAATTGTTGAAAGTATGCAAAACCTTTGCAGATTCTGAATGAAACACTGAATGCTTAAATCATAGACAACGGAGAAAGTGTAATGATTTCTTGATGTTCGAGGGATTAAATCATTTGTTCACGACTTGGTTTTCCAAATACAATTTTATCTCGCTAGAATGCCGACACTCACAAAGGGTTAACGTAGGATTAGCAATTAAACAATAGACTAGAAACCTTGCATTAATGTGTTAATGTTCATTAACTGTAAACCTACCGAGTTTATAGAAACTACAAGAGGATCTACCAAAACGATTTATCATTCACTTTAATCATTGATCGAGAAACATCTGATATCTAATAACTCTCCAATGAAGAAGTCTATTATAAATTACATGATAATAACCGTGTTCATGCGAACAGCGTTTAAGTCGATAATTCAGGACCCAAAATTACGCAGCACCCCACTCGAGGATATCGGTTAATAGATTAGTGTCGCCATTCCGTTGCGCGTGGGCGTATAATGCATCAATTGCTATTGAGAAGGGCGCGACTAGATTGTTTCCCTCCCTCTGTTATTTTCCAGCCCTAATCGAATCCTTCGAGGAAAGTCCTCGAAGGCAAACATGCGAGCAATAAACGCGCAGTTCTAGATACGCGGCGGACCGAATTCAACGAGTTAATCGTTTATTCCGTTTTATGGGGGGCAAGGCAGAGAATGGGGAGTTCTGGGGTCGCTGCGTCATTCTGGGGCTACAGAAAATTCTAAGGCGCGAGTTCTTGTCGCGAATGCGACGAGAACGATGGAAGATACGAGGAATCGACCATTTTTGCTATCGTTCCTCCAGTTCACGTGGAAGGGAAACATCGGTTCATCTGTGAACTTGGCCCTTTGCACAGGGGTGACTCTCGGTCACTTGATTCGATACAAGGTGAGTTGAATATTTATTTTAAATGGAACTTTGCACTGCTTTGTGAACTATTTAAATAGAATTGTTAGATTGGTTTCAAACTTTGATTGAATATTTATAGTGAAAAATACTGCAATAAATAAACAAACCATTTCTTTCGCTACTGTGAAATTCATTCACCATTGTACATCAACCGCTCGCGACCGGTGCCGACAAGATGGCGACACTTCGTTCTCGACTGGTACCAAGATGGCGGCATCTTGGTTCCTGAGTGCGTTTTACGATAGAGAGGTATTGTTTCTTAATCTTTACAGTGTTTATATTCAACAAATCTTTAATATCTATGTATCTGTTATAATCCACCTCTAGAAGAATAACTTTGAAAGTATATATATCTGCTTCGACTAGCTGGTAATGTCGCCAGAAAAATCTACCGATCGTAAGAGGTTAATGACGGTCATTAACCTCTATAGAAACTCTAAGAGCGCATCTATCGAGACTTTAATCGATTTATCATTCAGTTCGAACGTTGATAAATCAATTGAATAATTTCTCAGAGAAACATCTGTTATCTAATGATCGTGCAATGAAGAATGGACGTTTTGCCCAATGTTGCTCTTTAACACTGGAACCATTCACACGTTCGCAACGGGATGTACCACCGGTGGTACATGCGTCCAGTGGGACAGAAAAGAATGGTACATTCTTATCTATATTCTTATGGTGGTACATTCTTGTCTGTCGCATGAGACACATGTACCACGGGTGGTACATGAACTATTGTCGCGTCATTTAAATGACTGATTACTGTAATTAACAAATTTGTTTACTTTATATACATAGGAGAATTCTCCGAGGTCTCAAGTGCAACACCAAGGAGAAACTAAATACATAATTTCGAATTAGTTAACGTGGCGAACGTGTTAATGTCCTTATTTCGCAATAATCGATATCCCAAAGTGTTCGATATCCAAGACAGTTTCGAAAACAGATAGTTTCACTAAAACATTGCAAAATATACCTTATAACCTCCCTGCAGCCCCGTTGCTCGGTCGCCCCTTGATCTGCTCCTCGGGTGCACCGATGTTCAAAAGTTAAATTCTACTGTCGAGGCTCACGTACAGTCACTCCAACGACGCGAAACGAGAGCACTTTAATAACGGAAACGAACGAACCACTCGACAAGCGGACAAATATATTTTAACTACCCGAAATTGCACATTAAATTACCACACACGCGGCCGCACAACTGACAGAAACAACGCGCACATAACAACTGAACAAAAAACGCGGGACCGGATGCGTCGTAGATGGCGCTGCGCAGCCTGCGCGCGCAACCGCCGCGGGACCTTTGAACGGCTCGACAAATGAACACCATTCGAACACCGTGACTGACTCGACTTCGAACTGAATCGACTTTCCTGATTCTGAAGAAACTCCGTCGAGACTCTAATTGATTTATCGTTCAGTTCGATGCTGAATCAATTTAATCGGTTCAGAGACATCTGGTTTGTAATTGAAAAGAAAGGCAGGAATGTCGTTCGTTTCGAAAGAATCTATGCAATGCAACGAGATTATGGATGGTTTTGGCAATCTTAACCAGTCAACTAATTGTGAGATCAGAACGAAACGAAGAAGAATTACATGTTTATGTGAAAAAATAAAGAATTCATGAAAGAATTGGTATCAAGCTTTACGATGACGTTAAACTGCAGATCTTCCTGCAAATTCAACTGTTCAAAACCATAATCAGAAAAGCAGAATTCCAATGGAAAATGGTTTTCTACCAAATCTCATGAAAACCACTAAATTCTACACATATTTTCTTATCAATTTTCCACGAAAATCCGCAATCTAATTATTCCACATTTCACACAAGCTCAAAAATCTACTATTCTTCGAAACACCGATCTCTCAAGATTCCCTCGAAAAGCGCTTGCGACTGCAAACAACGCATTTTCACCAAAACATAGTGAAAAGCGACAGTTCCATTGCTATCAGCGTCTTCAACCGATGCTTCGTAAGGATATTCGTTCGTAACGGCACAGTTCCACGTGAGATCGAAGGGAGATCCCTCAGACGTCTCGTCAGCGAGCGGCAAACAGAGGAAGACAGAAAAACCGGAGGGACAGCAGGATTTACAGAGGCAAAAAGTACGGTTAGAGTAGCAGCGAATGGAAGAGGGAGCTTGATATAGCGATAATGGCGCGGTACTGGAGTGCCGTCCCATTACAATTTGCAATTATTGCATTTCCCGGTAAATGGGTTGTGCTTCTGGCAAGCGGCGCCCTATCCTCCTAGAAAGGAAGAGCTACGAACGTGATTGCATTGGGATTCCATTGAACGACATTATGGGGCCGGCTATGATCGGCGCGAAAAAAGGTTTCGGATGGCTAATGGTGTTGCGTTAAGATTCGTGGGATCCGCGGGGATCCTCGGCAAAACAAACTCGACAAGCAAATCGAGTTTTATTATATAGTTTATTACATGGTGTGATAGTCGGGCAAATGGAATATTTATTTAACAGGTTATCAAGGACAGCACTGATTATTTCCGTTTAATGCGTATGGGGTTCGAAAAATTGATGCAGATTGCTGGTTTCTTGGGAACGTCGTTTGCTTTCTTTGAGATCTTGTAATATTTGACTATTTAGGACACAATTTTTCTGATTTGACTATTTGGAACACAATTTTTCTGCTTTGACCCTTTGAACTCGAGAGACTCTCAGTCACTTGATTCGATACAACAAAGCTATACAGTTGAATATTTAATATTTCTAATTAAAGTTCGCATTCCTACGTGAAATATTGAAATAAAACACCTTTGTTGCTCAATTTATCTAATTATCGTTAAATTAGTTTCAAATATCATCTATATCTCGCAGTGTTGAATATTTCCATTGAAAAACTTTCGCAAAGAGTTAACCCTTTGAACTCTGTAGGCTCCAATGTTGCAGCAGTTGATATTTGAATAAGAATTAAAGAAACTAGCTTAAAATTATTAGATTTTCCACACATCCGAATTTTCTACTGAGAAGGAAATTATAGCATTCTTCATTTTCACTAGATACCATAAAAATTATAAATTATATTATAAAACCACCTGGCATGATAAGGGTTGACCCTTTGCACTCGAGAATATTCTCAAGAAATATTCTCAAGTGATATTTTTTACAACATAAAGAAATACCTTGCAAATTATGTGACAGAACTATTTCTGTCTATACGTTATAGACAATGTAATATGGAATTTGAGATTTTATCATTTTCTTCGGTAAAATCAAATGACAAAGGTCGAGTGCAAAGGGTTAATATTGTATTTATAGAGGTTCGAGCTATTCCTAGAAAACTGTTAAATGTTGAAACATTCAACATCCGTCAGATCGACGGGTTCTGTGTATTAAACGGATGCTTCATTATAGGATAATTAATAGCCAAGTAGCTGTTTGCTTTGATCGTGGGCGAATATTGATTCTTGCTCAATTGATCTAGAAATCGCAAGTGGAAACAGGATGAAGATTAAGAAACCAATCAAACGATATATTAAATGAACAAAATTTCATCTCGCACCTGGGAATATTTATTTATTAATATTTATGTCCCAAGTACTTCAATTACCAAGACATTTAGAAAGACTCTATTCGCACAAATGCAAGACTAGAAATTTTCACAAGCGACATCCTCACTTCCACTAATCCAAGAACTAATTAACCCTTTGCACTCGAAAAATGTCGCCAGAAATATTCAATTTATTTTTATGAGATAGATGACATTTTCTTCAACTTAACGAGGGATCTATTCACAAAATGGGAACAATGGTATTTTATTTCATTCCACGTATCGACAGATTACTCAAGACTCAATGTTAAATACGAAATTTTCAAATTTTCATGCAATCGAGAGGCAACTTTGGATAATCGCTATGAATACTGTAATAGATTATTTTCGGTTTCTTTAGACATTCATTATAGCATTCAAGTGAAACTATTTTCAAAATCATTTCGAATATCCAATGCTTCGAAGATACCAACAATTGCTAAACAAAAAACTGAAACTAGTCATTTTGACTGGTACAATACGCAAATTGAATCGTACACCAATTAGCCTTCAATTCAGAGTTTACCGACAAACGTCAAAAAGTCAGTTTAACCCCTTAACTTGTACGCTCGAGTTAATTCGAGCTAAACAGCCCAAACTGTGAAAATAATAATGTGAAAATAACAAAGCAATAACACTTATTTATTCAAGAATAAAATATAGCCTTTTTCCATGGAACAAAAGCGCAGTATATCAAAATTGATTTCTTTTGGCCGGTTTTTTTTTCAAAAAAACTGTGCGTTAAGGGGTTAACACTACTACCGAGCATTTGATGTGATTAATATGCTATTCCTATAAAAATTCTCATGCACCAATCTAACTGAGAGGCACCTTTGGAGTGCAAAGGCTTAACCAACGGATTCCATAGTCAAATTACTCGAACCACAGATTCTCCGATAAACATCAAAACAATAATCGAAAACTCTAACCTCCGAGCCCTTGCTCTCTCGCTGAACTCAACGGCAGCTCGTGCCTTTCGCTACTTCAACTCCCGGTAAATTAGATTAGCGTGAATTAGCGAGCCGTATTCCACGCCGACGGCCAAATTCCAGCGTGAGTTGCACAGAGCAGAAAAGGGGTGGCTTGGTTACAAGCTGCCTATTGCCGGCAAGCTTGCTCTTAGCCAGCCCGGCTGCTATTATTTCCGCTGTTATTGAAGTGCTAACACACCGTGTACAAGCTGATATCCGGGAGGAAATTTTAATTGTCGCGCGGCGGCGCCGCCCGAAAGGAAATGGCTGTTGTTCTCCGCACTCGAAAAGAAGCTCTCGCCGAACGCCGGGATATTTCACCGTTTCGGCCGAAAAATTCCAGCAGGTAGACAACACTTGTGTCCGTAAATACCGCCTCGTTACCGTATTACACGCTGCGAACTCGCGAGTGAAGAGGATGCTATTTACGCGCTATCTGCGAGCTGCCCTTTCGTTACGTCCCACTTTGCTGTGGAAAGTATAGAAGATATTTTGATCGTTTTATTTTTGAGTGACGTCATGATGAGGGTTAACTCTGATGACGAATGTTGATGTTTCGAGATGGAAGTGTATATTTGTAACACTGAGTCGCGAGTAAATGATTTAATTGGTTGAATAGGAAGAGATTAGATCATAGTTGCCTTTTCATCACCAGTCACTGGTGACTGACGCTTCTGAATGACTAAAAAACAATCGTAACGTACAAGACAACCGATGTGAAATGAAAATGTTTAATATGGCAACTAAGTTGATAATAGTGCAACGCAAACGTTGCAACGCCAAATCTGAATAATTATTCCTACTCTTCTTGGCTACAGAAGACAAACTCTATGTCTATGTTTCGTGGCGCATAACGTGTTAATTAAGCAATTGGTGTATTATTTAACTTAATCTGCCGAAGGTTTTGTATATTTCAAAGAATCTTCGACTGCAAAGGGTTAAAAGGTTTGGAAATCAGAGATTAGAAGTCAATTCGTGTTCTGTTTGGGATGAAGGTTTCGTATTTGTGAAATAAGTTGTAGATGCTTTGTAAAGTCAACTTTGCAGTTTATCGAACTATTGCGAAATTGTGTAGTAAATGACGGTATTGTTTTGTGCGTGTACTGTATGTAGA